GGGTAACGGCTCTGGAGAATGACTCAGTTGCCCTTGGGCTTGTATGGACGTCTGAACTTTTTCGTTTTCCCTGTGCCATTGCCAGGCCAATTGGCTTTGGCGCCAGAGACGCCGCTGTTGGCGCCAAAGGACAGGGATTTGACGCCAAAGAGCCTGCCCTTCTCCTCCTATATATTGGCGCCAAAGGCCAGGGAGTTGCCACTCTCTTGAGCCCTCTCTCTTTGACAGCCATGTCACAAGGTAGCAGCAGCTATGGTGGTGCGCCAAGGCGGCGCGTGCTTTGCCCGAATTGCAATGTGCTCGCCAATCGCTTCATCTCGACGACCAGGGCCAACCCCAACCGGGCCTTTCACAAGTGCTCTTATTTCGCGGTTTGTGCTTCTCTCTTTGGTCAATATTGTTTGTCTTTCCCTCTTTGCTCAGTCTCTATGTTGGATTTCAGATTGGAGGATGTCAGTACTATCAGTGGGAGGATGAGATGGGGGAGACAGCTACACCAATCCAAGTAGTTCCACTGCAGGCAGTGGCAGCACCTGGTGGTTTTCCCACAGCTCCTCCTCTGGCCATCTTGCAGGAAGGTTCCCAGACAGCTGTAGTTGAAGGCCATGCACCAATGGACAAGAGGGTGCAGCAGCAGCTTAGGAGGATTGAAAAACTTGTGTATTTGTGCTTGGTGCTTGCTTTGTATGCTATTTTCAAGAAGTAGGCTGCTGTTGTGTGTGTGTGTGTGAGTTTTCATGGATGTATGGATCAATCAATGCATGAATGAATAGATGAATGAATGAATGCTTCTCATGGTTCATAACAACATTAAGACAAAGAAATTAACAGTTCACTCATCCATCACATAACTGGTAGCATAATATGTTTCATCACCAACAACATATGGTGTTTGATCACATCACTTATAGTTTACACATAGAAACTAAATTACTAGAGTTTGTTCACATCACTAACATGAACCATCAATTTAGACAAGGTTTTTCATGACAGCCCCAAAAGAACATCAAAGTACCAAAAGATCATGCGTCAGGGCCAAAAAAAGAACATCACAGCACCAATAGAACATCACTAGAGTTTCTTACTGCAGCTTCTTTGGTGTCAACTTCTTCTTCACTGCTCCCTTATTTCTTCTTGGTGTGCATTGTGGATCCACAGGCTCAAGTGGGAGGTCATCAACTGGCTGGCTGGGCTAGGTGTCCACTGTAATGGAGTCCTCATTGAAAGGAACCAGATGCACAGATAAGAGTGGGACTGGATCATTTGAACCAGTTCCAGACCTGACAGTCAACAGTATACATTAGATTTCCACCTGGTTGAAATAAAAAGGATGAGGCAAAGAACAGGTACCTTGTAGACACACTAGTAGGAGCTGAGGTTGAACTAGTGGTGGCTGGTGCTGCACCCTTATGTTTCTGTGAGGAGGTTGAAGAAGAGGATGACTTCCTCTTCCTTTTGTTATGGATGGCATTTGCCACTGCCTCATTGAATGGGAACTGCATCTGGGATGGCTGGGCCACCACAAGACTCCTCTCTGTGTTGCTTGCTGCATCCTTCTTCAACCTCTTCTTTGGTGTGCCCCTACAAAGGAAAATAGATTAGCTTCTGTGTATGCAAAGCTATGTACATACAAAGGTAGCTATATGCATAGGACAACAGATTACCTTGCTGCCTCCATTGCAGCTATGTCTTCTGGGTTCCCATTCTTACAAGTGTACCAGTGATGGCCCAACTGATGATAGATAGGGCATTTATGTTTCTTTGACTTCCTCTTGCTGCTGCCTCCCTCAAGTGTAGATTTCATCCTATTCTTTCTCCTACCTCCACCTGTGGACTTAAGAAGAGGAGGGTTCAAGAAAAAGCCTGGTTCTGCCTCTGGCCACATGCTCTTGTCAGGTATGCTAAGGATGGAGCCATCATATGTAACTCTGAAATTGTTGACAGAGAAGTACTCATCCACATAGTCTTCAAGCTTTGCGCCAGGAATTGAGGTAATGTATGCAATGGCATGCTTGCATAGGATTCCTGACCTGCGGCAAACCCTACAAGAACAGGTCCTGTCTGCTAGGTTGACCACAAACCTGAAACCAGTTCCTTGCAGACCTTTAGCACACAGCTCTGCCACACCTTTAGGTGAGGCTGTGATGACATCTATGTCCAAGTTGTAAGTGTCTTCCCTAAGCCTCTGCATGATATGGGGCATAATTTTGCCATTGAGCTTAGCAGCTACCCTCTTCCTATGGTTCCACTTGATCAAAAGCATCTGCCTTATAGTGTCTAGCAAGTCCTCCAAGTGCTTACACTTTTCAGGTTTGACCCAGTTGTTGAAGGACCCAGCCAAATTGTTTGTCACATAGTCAACCTTTGACAGTGTGGTGTACTGGCTCCTGGTCCAAAGCTTCTTGTGATTCTCTTGCAAGTACTTCATTGCTTCTGGTTTGGCTGCAGCCATTGCTTCATAATGCTTCTTAAACATGTATGGGCTCCATGAATATGAGGAAGCCCATAAGTGATCATCAAACACTCTACCACTATACCTCTTCTTGAAATTCTGTACTAAGTGATACATACATTCTCTATGTTCAGTTGTTGGAAAAACTTGACTGACTCCATTCATTACTGCCTGCCCACAGTCTGTATGGAATGTCATGCCTTCTGGAGTGCCTATTGCCTCCTTCAATCTCTCCATGAACCAGATCCAATTTTCATTGGTTTCAGAGTCAATCACACCAATAGCAACTGGATACATCCAGTTGTGGGCATCTACTGCACATGCAACACACAACTGTCCCCTAAATCTCCCTGTCAAAAAGGTACTATCTACTGCAAGATATGGTCTACATCTCCTAAGAAATCCATCAACACATGCTTTCGGAGCAAAAAATAGCCTGTTAAACCTGACCTTATTATTGATGGTGTGATGATCAATGACAAGAACTGAACCAGGACTAGATTGTTCTAACTGGGCCTTAAAACTAAACAAATTGTGGAAACTCTTGCCCCAAGGCCCATAAAGTTGATCCATTGCAAGGTATTTACCTTTGTACACTTTTCTATAGCTGATCTGAACCTTGTACAGATCTTTCAGCCTCCTTTGCAGCTCCTTTGCACCAACATTTCCATCCTCTTTCAACCAATCAATTACCTTGCTGCACACCCAAAACTGACTAAGTCCAACACATGATCCTTGTCTCCTAGTGCTCTGGCAGCCATTTCCATGCTCATGTGGGTTCACCTTCACCTGGAAAAAAAGTTGAAAAGAAACACATGTTAGCAGCTAGGTACATGCAAGGAAAACAGGTAGCAGTCAATACCACAAATTGAACTAACACATCACCTGAATGCCATGTCCATCAGCTAAAGTTGAGGCATGCAGTCTCCATGGGCATCCCTCATTCCTCAGAGAACAGTGCACCGTATACCTCCCGGTAACACTCTTGTCAATTTCATAGTTAAACTCATGTTTAATAGCATGACTAGCTAAAGCAATCTTAAAAGAAGCCATATCTGGGTAGATAGTTCCCACTGTCATAGGAGGGTCATCTTTGTCATATTCAACATCAGGAAATTGAAATTGCTCAGGCTCCCTATCAGCAACTTCCTCATCAAAGGATTCATCTATTTCTACTTCCTCATCTTCCTCGTCACTGGTTTCATCATCCCTATCAGCAACTTCCTCATCAGAGGATTCATCTATTTCTTCTTCCCTTTCTTTACTCCCCCCTTGGCTCTGAGAACTGGTAGGAGGAGGTGGAGGGTGGTTGGGACCAAGATCAATATACAAGCCTTCATCATCAATCCTCATATGTTCATTCATTGGATTTGAGTTAGCCAGGAACTTAGGTTGGCTTGGTTTGGGTGGCTTAGACTTGGATGTTTGCCTTGGTTTGGGTGACTGAGACTTGGATGGCTGCCTTGCTTTGGGTGGCTGAGACATAGATGGCTGGCTTGGTTCTGCTATGCTTGGAGAAATAATTGAAGGAGTGAATGGGGGCTCAACAGATTTCCTTGGGCTACCAGACTCCCAATCAGGAAGCACAGGCTGAGTACCAGGACTATGATATGCAACAGTCAACAAGCATGTTCTGGTTGCCCTATTTTTTTCAAACATTGCTAGCATCTCTTGGTCATTGCGCATAGGTATGTGAACTTTACTATGCATGCACCAGTAAAACAATGTGGCTACATCACCATAGCTAGGAGGATACTTGTCAACCAAATCTTCCATAAGCCCAGTTAACAAAGTTTTGTCTGCATCCACCACTTCATTCACAGAAAACCACTTTGCACGACAATTGGGACCAACAATCCGCATTTCTAGGTTGTAACTACTATTTGGGTCCATCCTACAGATGAACAAGGAGCACGTAATCAATAAACCCTAAACACGATTCGGTAGCGCAATACACTAATGCAATCAACATCAATACAAGGAGGGGCGAAGTCAAGGAGGGAGGAGGAGCGGTACTCACTCTTCCCGGAACCAATCCGGCCTCTCGCCGGGTCCGTTCCATGGCATGCCTGCTCCGCCCGACCGTCTTGCTCCACGGGGCTAGGATTTCGAGGGTGGGCCGCCAACACCGACTGCCGCCGTCTCCAGATCCGCCGCCGCTAGGGTTCGCCGCCGCGTCCTCCCGCGCTCGGGTGAGAGAGTGAGGAACGAGAATGGGGAGAGACTGAGAGAGAGGCTCGGGTGAGACTGAAGGAGATGCGACCCAATATGTCAGTGACCCAGAGGGCAAGGAGGATATTTTTCTAGCCCGGTCCCACATGTCAGAGCCGCCAAACGGGCAAAACCTAACAGAATGCCGACGGAATGACGTGAGGGAAAAGAAAAGTTCGAGCGAGGGCATGTAGATGACGACCAACTTTTGAGGGATACGCATGAGTGTGGCATCTTTTTAAGGGTACACAGGTAAAAGCCTCGTTTGTTGGAGGAGAAGCTCAAGCTCCTCCGAGATGGGGATCTGCAGCGTGTTAGTTTAGACAGAGAGGAAGAGATGAACACATGGCTGCAGCAGGTGAAGGAGGCTGCAGACGACGCAGAAGAGCTGGTCAAGGACATGGAGGCCGGTGAGTCAGCAATTCCTGATGTTATGGCTTGGTTTCGTTCTGATAGCAGTAATCTCCTCAGAATGAAATATACCATCGGGAGACTTGTTAGCGTGTGCACTGAAGGTGAATCCCTTCTTGGCATGCCGGACGTGGATGAGGATGTCCGGGAAAGCAATGGAAATGATAGTGCTCCCTGGACCCCTGATCACACCTATGTTGTTGGTCGAGATAAGGAAATAGCTATGATTTTGGACATGATATTGGATGATGCTCATTTCAAGGCAGCAACGTCGCTTGAAAGCTGGGAAACTATTGACAGCTTACAAATTTCTCAGAAAGGATGGATCATTGAGACCCTCAGGAACATAAATCTATCTGTGCAGAGACATGAAGATGCACAAGTATCACCTTACCAAAAGGAAATTGGTGGCACAATAGAATATACCCGGGTGTACAATAATACTGTAAGGGAACTGACGAACCCTGTTATCATTCCGATTGTTGGAATCAGCAGGGTCGGTAAAACAACACTTGCCCAGCTCATTTTCAATAACGAAAGGGTCCAGAAGCACTTCCAGGGTCAATCTGCATGGGTCTATTGTACTGACAACATCAGAAAGGAAGAGTTGATGACAAAAATCTTGGTATCTTTGCAGCCTCCAGACAAGATGAACAGCCTCCGCAATCAGCTTCAGAGTTTCATAGGAGGAAAGAGGTTTTTCCTTGTACTTGATGATGTATCTGATGAGATATGCGCAGTTTGGGGTGATGTAATAAGTGTTCTAAACAGAGGTGCACCTGGAAGCGTCGTCCTAGTGACAACCCAACTGTATGGTGTGGCCAACTTTATGGGGACTACGACTCCAATATTTTTGAATCCTCTGCAGTATGATGACTTGTGGAAACATTTTAAGCATCATGCATTTTCTGGTAATCAAAGTACAGAAGCTCTGGAGTCAATTGGCAGAAAAATAGCAGACAAATTACATGGTCTTCCTTTAGCAGCAGCAATGATTGCGGTATCATTGAGAAATTATTTAGATCAAGTGCACTGGAATACTCTCTTAAAAAGTTGGTGGTGGAGTGTTTCAAGTAATAGTTTGGGCATCCATGTTGCAGCTTCTCTTGGAGTTTGTTACTGTGAATTACCTGCACATTTGAGGCAGTGCTTTCTTTATTGTTCAATATTTCCTAGAAACTATATATTTGGAAAATATGAGTTGATCCAGATGTGGATAGCTAATGGCTTCATTGAGCTAAACCACACTGCTGGTACAAGAAGCTTGGAGGACGTAGCTTCCGAATGGTTTGATGAACTTGTCAATAGGTGCTTTCTGCAACCAACAATTTGGGAGCTCCGATACGTTATGCATAATTTGGTTAGAGATTTTGCAATTGCCTTAACTTCTAATGAGCATCGTGGTGTTGATTGTGAACTGGTAGATCTTCCACACAATGTCCGCCATTTATCCATGGATATTGATCATATGAACGTGCCATGGGCTGACTATAACATTAAAAGTTTGCGATCACTAATGTTGTTTGGTGGCTTCCATGACACCAACCCTAGTGAAGGTTACAATACTAGCCTTCTGGAGAGGTCTTATGGAACTTATGGCACTGTTGATAACATTTGTGAGGGGTTTTCTGACTCAATTGATAAAGGTGCTAACATCATTTTGAAGAGATCTTGTGTGACTATGGACAACATTTTAGGGAAATCAACAAGCTTGCGCTTATTGAATTTGTCTAACATGAGGCCCGATGATGCATCAGCATGCATTGATGATCATCTACCTGTTGAAGATCATGTTGCAGCTTTTTCGAAGTTCATTACAATGAATCCAAAGCTGCCGCGGTTGACTCATCTCAGATACTTAGATTTTTCATACAGTGGGATTACTGAACTTCCTGATTCTGTATGTACCTTGTGCAATCTACAGGTTCTTGGCTTGCGAAGCTGTAGATTCAGACAGTTACCAAGACACATGAACTCATTAATTAGCCTGCGACACTTACATGCAGATGCAGATACAATTGCTCTAATTAGTGGCATTGGAGGGCTAACAAAGCTCCAAGACTTGCACGAATTCCGTGTTAAAGCAGACGATGGCCACAGAATAACTGAGTTAAGGGACATGAGGTACATTCAAGGTTCCCTTTGTATCTCAAATCTTCAGAGTGTGGCCACTCAAGCAGAGGCAGCTCACGCTAACTTATTCAGAAAGGAGCGTATTACTTGTTTACATCTAAAATGGGACAGAAGTCAATATTTGAGTGGTAAATATAACCCTTTCAGAAAGGAGTTGAGTCAGTATGATGAAGGTCAAAAAGAGCCAGGTCATGTTTCCTTACTTCAGAAGAATTACAGGTCTTCAGATATTTCAGGGTCAATTGTGAATCTACCAGGGGTCTCTACATCTGATCTAGCCATTGGCATATTAGAGTGTTTGTCTCCACCAAGGAATTTGCAAAAGCTGAAAATTTTTGGGTACCCAGGGTGTTCATTTCCAGACTGGATGGAACGCCTTAGATATATCCAAGTTATTGAGATAAGCCACTGCATAGAACTGCAGGTACTTCCTCCTATTGGACAGCTGGAGCATCTAAGGAAACTGAAGTTATATGAGCTGCCATCCATAAAAGATGTCAGGTCTGATGTATACGGAACCTCGAATGTTGTCTTTCGTTCTTTGGAGGAGCTGAGTTTTGGATCCATGGTAAAATGGGAAAATTGGGCAGATGCAGAGAACAGACAATTCTTTCCAAACCTGCAAAAGATGCAGATTAATAGGTGCTATAATCTGAGGGAACTACCTTTTATGGCCTTGGGCTTAGCTATCAAAGAACTTTCACTTTCACGTTGTGGTTCATATTCCAGTACAGTATCAAGTTATTTGTGTCGACTAACCTGTCTCACACATTTAAAGGTAAATGATTGCTCACAAAAGTTAATCCTTCCATGTCAAAGCTTGGTATCACTGGAATACCTGCACCTTTCAAATTGTAAGGAGCTCTGCTTTGAGGGTGGAATTTTTTGTATGAACAATTTGAAAGCCCTACATATTTCCAGCTGCCACATAATCACATTATCCCTAGAGGAAGAGATCAGTCGCCTGCTCTCAGGTTGGGCACTAATGTATGGAGAAGAGCAAGCACTTCTTCTTAAAGCTACTATTCTTCAGTTAGTCAAAGCGACAGGCATGAAAAGTAGAGAAATCCACCTTCCTGTTTCCTCTGTAGCTGGATTATCCAAAGAGTCAGGCAGAAAAAGGAGAGACACAACGCATAAACATGAACGCATTCATGTTATGCAATCTCTCACTGAACTTACAATGGATAACCTTTCCCAGTCTCTAAATCTTGATAATATTCTTTGCAAACTTTCAGCACTTCGCACTCTGTGTCTTCACAAGATTCAAAAGATATCTGTTCTTCAAGAACAGTGGCTTGAACAGATTAAGTCCCTACAGGAGCTGGAGTTTTCTAGTTGCTACCTACTCAGGAAGCTCCCCTCGAACCTGAACTCTCTGTCGTCCTTGAAGAAGTTGAGTCTGCAGTCATGTTCCCAAATTCACTCGCTACCATCTAAAGGTCTACCACAGAACCTAAAGGAGTTACAGATACTAGGTTGCTCATATATCCTAGAGGCACGATGCCAGAAGGAAGATGGGGAGATATGGGTGAGGAAGAAGATACAGGAATGGCAGATGCAAAAAATAAAAGAATATCGACAGAAAAAAACAAACGAGTTCTGGCAAGGATGGCAGATGTACGAGGAAGAGTGGATCCAGTGTGCCGGAGACCAGCTGAAGAATAAGGGAGTGGTTGACAAATGAAGAAGAGGATTGGCTGAAGCATAGTGCGATGGAACTGGCAAATAATGCAGATGTATGGCGCAAGGCCATGGGAGAAGATTGGCCGAAGATTGCTCACGTTCCTTATATCCGCGTGAATGGAGATATCATACAGAACCTTTATCTCTGAAGCTGCAGCTTCACCAAATCTGTGTGAAAGGTAAAGTTCAACAGTACACATTACAATTGCCCTCTCATTAGCTTTTATCGATTGAATCTATGATGCTGTTTGCCCTCTGCTTGGGCATGTCCTAGTAAATTACACATTACATTCTAATTTGCTACCTTATTCTTGTGATGCAAACACCAAATAGGTACATAACAGATCCCCAAAGATATGCATTGGTCGAGTCCGGAATTCATTATGAAAAACAACTACAACTTCACAGCTTATGTTATACATTTTTCTTTAGGGTTATTGCATGTAACTATAAAGTTATTATAGCCTCTCTTGAGTTTTGTGGCACAATTTCTTCACAGTTCCAAACTTGACATTTATTTTTACCCTGCACCGTGCTCCCATAACTGTCCATCTGAGTATAGGCTTAGCAAAGATATTACAGTTTGAAGCTGGCATCTAAGAGTCAATTTTAGAAAAAATGTGTTCAAAGCTTTCTGTGGCTGCAGCATATTTTATACAAAAAAATAAGACGGAATATAATAAGCATCACAATTCACATGTGGACCTATAACTTGATTTCCTTTTAGTTTTTTTTTTTTTTTGGTTCAGAACTGCCAACGAACGAGGTTATACATGGCGGGCTTATTTTCTTCAGTTGTTCGTGTCAGCACCCATATTATTCCGAAATAACAAAAGAGAGTAGGTCCTTGATCTTGTAATTAGATTGGGTGTGAGTGGAGAACTGTACATGTTTTTATGGAAACGAAATGAAGTATATTATCCTTTTTTTTTCCTTTTTGCACAAATTCTTAGACTGACTTATGCAAATGATTAAGTAACCCTTCATGATTTGCAGGTTTTTTTAGTGTAAAGAAGTGACAACTTCTAGGAAGCTAATACCATGACGCATTCCACATCCACGCACGGTGCAGCCATTGAGCCATGGAACCAACTCAAGCACATCCTTGTACTGCAAGGCAGCTGCATGATCTTTGTGAAGCGTCATGCCAGGTGCGACGGTCTTTAGAGAACAACATAGCCGGGCAGCTTTTGCGTCAAAAAAAAACATCGCCTAGCATGGGTGGACCTGGTGTTGTGCCCGGGTATTCCCGGGCATACCCAACATTTTTGCCGCAAAAACTAGTATATACAGGGATACATATATGCGCGATATAGTTAAGCTTTAGTATCGTAGTTCTCTTTATCTTGTTCATCCAAAAACAGCCCACGAAACCACGTTGCAGCCCATTACCTATATGCTCACCCGGCCATCAAGGCTGATTCTAGTCCATTCTCCTCCCTTGGTCAAGAAACTCGTGAGGCAAAGCGCAAGAGCCGCGAGCCCGACGGATGCTCCCGCGAGACGAAATCCTAGCGCCTGCCTAGCGAAGACGTTGGCCACGCCGCCCGGCAACATTAAAATAACCCGAGTGCGGTGTCGCCCTAAAACGCACAGTGTTGTAGCTGATCTACCACTATTGTGGCTCGAGCACTCGGTAAGCAGGCAGGGTGTAGTTCAACCGCGGGTCGCCTCACACCCCGCTAGACACAAGCGGCTAGGATGGCACGTTGGTCGCCATCAAAGACGCACACCTCGCTAGAGCCGTCTGGAAGCGCAGACAGATCTTGATTCGGTATCTTTCTTAACCAAATTTGGAGGCAACAACTCAAGTTCTCCTTTGATATTTGCTCAATTTATAATATATTTTCTTTAGCTTGGGGCTTGGGCATACCTAACTTTGAAATCCTGGGTCCGCCACTGTCGCCTAGGCAAGGACGGTACTAGGTATGCATCGGTCGTTTTTTTTAAGATAACGGAACAAAATCCCAGCCTAGGCAAGGCTAGTTTTGTGCAGTACTCCTATTTGGAACACCTTGGGGGGAATTTAATGTTTCCGCTGGATATTCTAACGCATCTCCGGTTGTCCACTCTGCAGTGTCCTCACTTCATGGAGCCGGGAGATCCTGCATCTTACTGCTGAGCGAAGTGGCAGTTGAGCAGATGCAGAAGCTTCAGAATTCTGAGTTAAACATACTCTCTCCATCCAGATTCATAGCTAGAAGTGCATTTTTTTAATAGAGTGAGTATGAGTTTTTTTTTTGCCCAATTTTTGTTGGCCCAACACCCCAGCCCACATCTTGCAGCGCCGTACGGAACCGCGAGCGCAGCCGCGCGCCGCCTCTGTTGTTGGTGCTTCTTAACGTAAGCAGGAAAGTCCGCAAGCGCACGAAAGTACCGTTGTAGCATTTCACCTGGTGGTATTCAGGGTATCGTATTTCTACGAGGAACGGATGTGTAAGTAGTCTTTTGGCTAGTTTAACTAGGAGAACAAGATGAATGGTAACTTGGGTAGTGAGGTTCGTCTAAGGGTAGAAACTTTAAGTGAAGATAACTTTACTACTATAGACTCACTTCGAGTATCGGCTTACGCTTGGTCTGCCAGGTGATACCGGCCTACAGCTCTACGCCATATCCGAACGTGGGGGATTACAAAGGACGGACAGGGCTGTCACCGCCTACCGCCTACCCCTCAACCGGAGGATATAAGGCAAACGAAGGTAACGTGTAGCTTAGACACCACGTCTACGCTAACCGTTACTACTCTAGCGTTGGCCAGAAACATCCGCCTTTATCAGGAGTCCTCTACTAGAGCACCCGTCACGAGGACGGACGACGAACCCGGAAGTAAGTAGTAACAATGATAACTTAACTTAAGGGATCAAAACCGAAAGATGAACACGAACTTCTTACTCCAAGTAGTAAGATGAACGTAGAGGTATAAGTGTAGAGGGGGCCAACAAGTCCGGCACTCCGTCCACCCGTTGTACAAGGCTCGCCGAGTATAAGAAGTAGAGGGTACCGCTACTCCGCTATTCCTCTCATTCTTTCCCTCTCACTCCCTAACTAGAAGCTAATGGAATGAGTGTAGGCTTTCTTCTTCTTCTCCAAATGTGTATGATCCTCTTCGATGTGGGGAGGAGGGCTCCTTTTATAGCTTGAGGATGGTCGGTTGATCAAGTATTTTAGGAAAGCACCGCATGCAACCGCCTCCACGTGCATTGAATGCACCGCCAGAGAAATACGGGGCCAGGCGGAGCTGGGGGGTGTGCCCGCACCCTGGGTGCGGCCGCACCCAGGGCTGCGTGCCTAGCCACCGCCTTCGGCGTGTGGGCTCCTGGCTGGGCTTGGGCCTCTATTGTGCTGGTGTTCTGCCCTATTATGGAGTATTAATGGGCTTTTGCATATGTTTTGCTTGAATGCGCCTTTTCGGTTGCGCATTTTGGTGCATGTTCACATGTTGCCCTGCAAAACATGTATATACCAAAACTCATGGAAAATATGAGTTGTAAGCCCTAATTCTGAGTTTTGGCATTTATATTTGTTTTATTTTGTTTAAATGTTGACGGTAGAAATATGAGTTAAGCACCGCCAACAAGCTCCTCCACACTTAGTCCTTTGCTCGTCCTCGAGTAAAGTTCTAAGGACTAAGCGGGTTCATCTCCTTGATTTAAAAATTTGCATATAGGTTATTCCAAGCTTCACCTGAATCTGTGAACTTCCAAGTGTATAATTTTAATTTAATTAGATTTGTAGATTTCTTAATATTCTGTCTAATCCGCAAGCCACATGCGTCGTCGTATATGTGGGTAAAAATTTATTGCCCCGTGCAACGTACGGGCATATATATCTAGTTGTCCAAGAGAATTGCTATCTAACTTGCTATTACTATTTTTAGCTAAAAGTCTAGAAAACTGGTCTCCAACAGACTAGCCAACGCAATTGCTATCCTATTTGACATGCTATCCTGTGAGCCTCGGGAGCTAAATTTGGCTAGCCGGCCTGCTTTGCTATCTTGGTATATGTGAGGCTGTCAGTTAGTGCCATGTTTGCATTGCTCTAAATTCCATTTCTTTCTCTTGGAGATATAGCCAGTATGCTGAAATACGTTGGATTATAGAGAAAGAATTATTATGAAGTGGATAGCTAAATAAAGATATAGAACATGAAATTTAGAATGTCTCTTGTAGATGCTTTTAGGGCCTAACTTTTTAACTGCAATTTTAGTATTTTCAAGGTTTACCAGTAGTCATGCACATGCAGCACGCCGTGTTTACGATTGTGATAGGCTGCATCCTATATATACTTAAGTGAGTATGGTTTTTAATTTATTTTTTGCTTATCGATCCATAACCCTAAGGCGAGAATAAACAATTAAACATGAACACAGCTATTGTATTTGTTAACTCACCGGTGTTGCTGAACCCACAATCATTGGAATGCCATGGATTAACAAAACCAGGTAGCACAAGGAGCGCATGACCTATAGTATACTAAAAAAGAATAAACAATTCTCAAATTAATGTATGGCCATCAAGCACGAGAAGAAATAATATGTAAGTATTGGATCGAGAGAATTATTAGGATTGGCGGAACCAGCGAAATAATAAAGAGGAGACCAGAAAAGGCTACTGTCCTGCTTACCGATTCCTGCCTCCGATGAGGATGCCGAGGTCGGGCGGAGCTTGGAGAGCGTGGTGATCGTGGATCCCCCGACGTGGCCGGTGCCGCCGAGCAGGAACACGTGGCCGGTCCTCGAGGGCTTCCTCCTCCGCTGGGCCTGGGTGGCGTCCCTGGAGCCGGAGGGTGCCGGCGCGTCTGCGGGAGCGGAATGCGATGCGATGCGATTGGGGGTGGGGAGGAGCTGGCCCCCCTTGCTCCGCCACTGATTATTACCATGCCATGAATTTTCCATACGGTACACTTGAATTTTTTCTGTTCCAACTTAGAAGACTCGGCCTTAGCCCCTAATTTTGCGCGATTATTATGTTGACACTCTCGGCTTTTAGCCCATCTTTCGTC